TGCTGCTGCGGTTCTTGCTGCTGCTGCTGCCGCTGGTGCTGCTGCTGCTGCCGCTGCTGCTGCTGCTGCTGCTGGTTCTGGTGGTGCTGCTGCTGCTGGTGCTACTGGTGGCTGTGTTAGTGGTGCTGGAGCTTCTGCTGGTGCTGATTCTGGTGCTGCTGCTGCCGCTGGTGCTGCTGCTGCTGCTGCCGCTAGTGCTGCTGCTGCTGCTGCTGCCGCTGGTGCTACTGCTGCTGCTGTTGGTGATGCTGGTACTAGCGTTGCTTCTGCGGTTCTTGCTGCTGCTGCTGCCACTGGTGGTGGTGCTGCTGCCGCTGGTGGTGCTGCTGCTGCCGCTGGTGCTGCTGATACTAGCGTTGCTGCTGCGGTTCTTGCTGCTGTTGCTGGTGCTGGCAACAGCAGCTTTCTCAGTCCAGTACAGAGAAGAATGGTGGAAGATGTGGAGTTGGAGGTAATGATTCCCTCTCCTGGAGTCCATCAGTGTTTACTCCATCAGTGTTGATAAGAGTACAGCATCAGCACGGTGAAGGAGGACTCAACACCAGAGTACAGTTACTACACACAGGTCAGGAGGACTCAACACCAGAGTACAGTTACTACACACAGGTCAGGAGGACTCAACACCAGAGTACAGTTACTACACACAGGTCAGGAGGACTCAACACCAGAGTACAGTTACTACACACAGAACAGGAGTACTCAACACCACAGTAGAGTTACTACACACAGGTCAGGAGGACTCAACACCAGAGTACAGTTACTACACACAGGTCAGGACTCAACACCACAGTACAGTTACTACACACAGGTCAGGAGGACTCAACACCACAGTACAGTTACTACACACAGGTCAGGAGTACTCAACACCACAGTAGAGTTACTACACACAGGTCAGGAGGACTCAACACCAGAGTACAGTTACTACACACAGAACAGGAGGACTCAACACCAGAGTACAGTTTTCTACACACAGAACAGAGGGCTCAACACCAGATACAGTTACTACACACAGGTCAGGAGGACTCAACACCAGAGTACAGTTACTACACACAGGTCAGGAGGACTCAACACCAGAGTACAGTTACTACACACAGAACAGGAGGACTCAACACCAGAGTACAGTTACTACACACAGAACAGGAGGACTCAACACCAGAGTACAGTTACTACACACAGGTCAGGAGGACTCAACACCACAGTACAGTTACTACACACAGGTCAGGAGTACTCAACACCACAGTAGAGTTACTACACACAGGTCAGGAGGACTCAACACCACAGTAGAGTTACTACACACAGGTCAGGAGGACTCAACACCAGAGTACAAATACTACACACAGGTCAGGAGGACTCAACACCAGAGTACAAATACTACACACAGGTCAGGAGGACTCAACACCAGAGTACAGATACAACACAGGTCAGGAGGACTCAACACCAGAGTACAGATACTACACACAGGTTAGGAGGACTCAACACCAGAGTACATATACTACACACAGGTCAGGAGGACTCAACACCAGAGTACAGATACTACACACAGGTCAGGAGGACTCAACACCAGAGTACAGATATTACACACAGGTCAGGAGGACTCAACACCAGAGTGCAGATACTACACACAGGTCAGGAAGACTCAACACCAGAGTGCAGATACTACACACAGGTCAGGAAGACTCAACACCAGAGTGCAGATACGACACACAGGTCAGGAAGACTCAACACCAGAGTGCAGATACTACACACAGGTCAGGAAGACTCAACACCAGAGTGCAGATACTACACACAGGTCAGGAAGACTCAACACCAGAGTGCAGATACTACACACAGGTCAGGAAGACTCAACACCAGAGTGCAGATACGACACACAGGTCAGGAGGACTCAACACCAGAGTACAGATACTACACACAGGTCAGGAGGACTCAACACCAGAGTACAGATACTACACACAGGCCAGGAGGACTCAACACCACGGTACAGTTACTACACACAGGTCAGGAGGACTCAACACCAGAGTACAGATACTACACACAGGTCAGGAGGACTCAACACCACGGTACAGATACTACACACAGGTCAGGAGGACTCAACACCAGAGTACAGATACTACACACAGGTCAGGAGGACTCAACACCAGAGTACAGATACTACACACAGGTCAGGAGGACTCAACACCAGAGAACAGATACTACACACAGGTCAGGAGGACTCAACACCAGAGTACAGATACTACACACAGGTCAGGAGGACTCAACACCAGAGAACAGATACCTAAGTATTGCCCGGGTGTCTCAAGTTATTTGTGTTATGTTCCAGTAACAGTATTGTGCCTTTTTATTCTTAAGTAAATTACGTTGTTTTCATCCTTAATTGTCCAACTATTGAGGAATATAGATAGACAGTGTAATAAGCTACGTGACATGTCAAAATAATCTATGTGACATGTCAAAATAACCTACCTGGAGTTTACCTGGAGAGAGTTTCGGGGGTCAACGCCCCCGCGGCCCGGTCTGTGACCAGGCCTCCTGGTGGATCAGCGCCTGATCAACCAGGCTGTTGCTGCTGGCTGCACGCAAACCAACGTACGAGCCACAGCCCGGCTGATCAGGAACTGACTTTAGGTGCTTGTCCAGTGCCAGCTTGAAGACTGCCAGGGGTCTGTTGGTAATCCCCCTTATGTGTGCTGGGAGGCAGTTGAACAGTCTCGGGCCCCTGACACTTATTGTATGGTCTCTTAACGTGCTAGTGACACCCCTGCTTTTCATTGGGGGGATGGTGCATCGTCTGCCAAGTCTTTTGCTTTCGTAGTGAGTGATTTTCGTGTGCAGGTTCGGTACTAGTCCCTCTAGGATTTTCCAGGTGTATATAATCATGTATCTCTCCCTCCTGCGTTCCAGGGAATACAGGTTTAGAAACCTCAAGCGCTCCCAGTAATTGAGGTGTTTTATCTCCGTTATGCGCGCCGTGAAAGTTCTCTGTACATTTTCTAGGTCGGCAATTTCACCTGCCTTGAAAGGTGCTGTTAGTGTGCAGCAATATTCCAGCCTAGATAGAACAAGTGACCTGAAGAGTGTCATCATGGGCTTGGCCTCCCTAGTTTTGAAGGTTCTCATTATCCATCCTGTCATTTTTCTAGCAGATGTGACATGTCAAAATAACCTATGTGATATGTCAAAATAACCTATGTGACATGTCAAAATAAGCTACGTGACATGTCAAAATAACCTATGTGACATGTCAAAATAAGCTACGTGACATGTCAAAATAACCTATGTGACATGTCAAAATAAGCTACGTGACATGTCAAAATAAGCTACGTGACATGTCAGAATAACCTATGTGATAAGTCAAAATAAGCTATGTGACATGTCAGAATAACCTACGTGACATGTCAAAATAGCCTATGTGACATGTCAAAATAACCTATGTGACATGTCAGAATAACCTATGTGACATGTCAGAAGGCCTAGTTCCTAGGCCTTTTGTGTATCCATATGCTCTTGCGGTACCCTCCACAGGATGGATATGGAGTGCACAATAAACTAGCCACTTCGGTGGCAAAATCTAAAAAAAAAAAAAAAAAAAAGAAAAAAATCTAAAATCACACTCATCTCTCTCTTTCTCTAAACCACAGGAGCCGTCACTTTTGATCCAAAGAAGCTGGAGTCCTCCTCACAGTTGTGGTCAGGGTACCCGCACATCCTGACGCCCAGCTTCCAGGACACAGCACACAACATCACTGCTCTGGTGGGAGATTCTGCCTTCCTTCCCTGCACTGTGTCTCATCTGGGTGACCGATCAGTAAGTAACAACCCTCTCCTATCCTTCCCTGCACTGTGTCTCATCTGGGTGACCGATCAGTAAGTAACACCCCTCTCCTATCCTTCCCTGCACTGCGTCTCATCTGGGTGACCGATCAGTAAGTAACAACCCTCTCCTATCCTTCCCTGCACTGTGTCTCATCTGGGTGACCGATCAGTAAGTAACAACCCTCTCCTATCCTTCCCTGCACTGTGTCTCACCTGGGTGACCGATCAGTAAGTAACAACCCTCTCCTATCCTTCCCTGCACTGTGTCTCATCTGGGTGACCGATCAGTAAGTAACAACCCTCTCCTATCCTTCCCTGCACTGTGTCTCATCTGGGTGACCGATCAGTAAGTAACAACCCTCTCCTATCCTTCCCTGCACTGTGTCTCATCTGGGAGACCGATCAGTAAGTAACAACCCTCTCCTATCCTTCCCTGCACTGTGTCTCACCTGGGTGACCGATCAGTAAGTAACAACCCTCTCCTATCCTTCCCTGCACTGTGTCTCACCTGGGTGACCGATCAGTAACACCCCTCTCCAATCCTTCCCTGCACTGTGTCTCACCTGGGTGACCGATCAGTAAGTAACACCCCTCTCCTATCCCCTGCACTGTGTCTCACCTGGGTGACCGATCAGTAAGTAACACCCCTCTCCTATCCCCTGCACTGTGTCTCACCTGGGTGACCGATCAGTAAGTAACACCCCTCTCCTATCCTTCCCTGCACTGTGTCTCACCTGGGTGACCGATCAGTAAGTAACAACCCTCTCCTATCCTTCCCTGCACTGTGTCTCACTCTGGTGACCGATCAGTAACACCCCTCTCCTATCCTTCCCTGCACTGCGTCTCACCTGGGTGACCGATCAGTAAGTAACAACCCTCTCCTATCCTTCCCTGCACTGTGTCTCACCTGGGTGACCCATCAGTAAGTAACAACCCTTCTCCTATCCTTCCCTGCACTGGTTCTCACCTGGGTGACCGATCAGTAAGTAACACCCCTCTCCTATCCTTCCCTACACTGTGTCTCACCTGGGTGACCGATCAGTAAGTAACACCCCTCTCCTATCCTTCCCTGCACTGTGTCTCACCTGGGTGGGCCGATCAGTAAGTAACAACCCTCTCTATCCTTACCTACACTGTGTCTCACCTGGGGTGACCGGGTCAGTAAGTAACACCCCTCTCCTATCCTTCCCTGCACTGTGTCTCATCTGGGTGACCGATCAGTAAGTAACACCCCTCTTCTATCCTTCCTGCACTGTGTCCACCTGGGGTGACCGATCAGAAGTAACACCCTCTCTATCCCCTGCATGTGTCTCACCTGGGTGAACCGATCAGTAAGTATCACCCCTCTATCCTTCCCTGCACATGTGTCTCACCTGGGTGACCGATCAAGTAAGTATCACTCCCTTCTCCTATCCATTCCCTGCATGGTCTCACCTGGGTGACCGATCAGTAAGTAACAACCCTCTCTATCCTTCCCTGGCACAGTGTCTCACCTGGTGACCGATCAAAGTAACAACCCTCTCTATCCTTCCCTGCACTGTGTCTCACTGGGTGACGATCAGTAAGTAACAACCCTCTCCTATCCTTCCCTGCACTGTGTCTCACCCGGTGACGATCAGTAAGTAACAACCTCTCATATCCTTCCCTGCACTGTGTCTCACCTGGGTGACCGATCAGTAAGTAACACCCCTCTCCTATCCCCTGCACTGTGTCTCACCTGGGTGACCGATCAGTAAGTAACACCCCTCTCCTATCCTTCCCTGCACTGTGTCTCACCTGGGTGACCGATCAGTAAGTATCACCCCTCTCCTATCCTTCCCTGCACTGTGTCTCACCTGGGTGACCGATCAGTAAGTAACAACCCTCTCCTATCCTTCCCTGCACTGTGTCTCACCTGGGTGACCGATCAGTAAGTAACACCCCCTCCTATCCTTCCCTGCACTGTGTCTCACCTGGGTGACCGATCAGTAAGTAACACCCCTCTCCTATCCTTCCCTGCACTGTGTCTCACCTGGGTGACCGATCAGTAAGTAACATCCCTGTACAACGTTTACTTCAGGCCCATATTGGAGTATGCAGCACCAGTTGGGAACCCACACCTGGCCAAGCACGTCGAGATATTAGAGAAAATGGTTTACAACAAGACTAGCCCTGGAGCTAAGGCCTATGAGAGAGGTTAAAGGAAATCTACCTGACGACACTGGAGGACAGGAGGGATAGGTAGGACATGATAACGACAAATAAAATACTGAGAGGAATCGACAAGGCGGACAGAGACAGGATGTTGTAGAGATGGGACACAGCAACAAGGGGTCACAATTGGAAGTTGAAGACTCAGATGAGCCACTGGGATATTAAGAAATATTTCTTCAGTCATAGAGTTATCAATAAGTAGAATAGTCTGGGAAGTGATGTAGTGGAGGCAGGATCCATACATATAAGAACAAGGTATGATCAAGCTTACGGAGCAGGGAGGGAGGGACTTAGTGGCGACCAGTGACGAGGCGGGGTCAGGCGCTATGACTCAACCCCTGCAACCACAATTAAGTGAGTACAAATAGGTGAGTAAACACATGACTTTATCGCTTGCAAACACAACTAGGTGAGTACAACTGCAAGATTGGAACTGTTTACCTGGAGTTTACCTGGAGAGAGTTCCGGGGGTCAACGCCCCCGCGGCCCGGTCTGTGACCAGGCCTCCTTTTGGATTAGAGCCTGATCAACCAGGCTGTTGCTGCTGGCTGCACGCAAACCAACGTACGAGCCACAGCCCGGCTGGTCAGGAACCGACTTTAGGTGCTTGTCCAGTGCCAGCTTGAAGACTGCCAGGGGTCTGTTGGTAATCCCCCTTATGTATGCTGGGAGGCAGTTGAACAGTCTCGGGTCCCTGACACTTATTGTATGGTCTCTTAACGTGCTAGTGACACCCCTGCTTTTCATTGGGGGGATGTTGCATCGTCTGCCAAGTCTTTTGCTTTCGTAGTGAGTGATTTTCGTGTGCAAGTTCGGTACTAGTCCCTCTAAGATTTTCCAGGTGTATATAATCATGTATCTCTCCCGCCTGCGTTCCAGGGAATACAGGTTCAGGAACCTCAAGCGGTCCCAGTAATTGAGGTGTTTTATCTCCGTTATGTGCGCCGTGAAGGTTCTCTGTACATTTTCTAGGTCAGCAATTTCACCTGCCTTGAAAGGTGCTGTTAGTGTGCAGCAATATTCCTGCCTAGATAGAACAAGTGACCTGAAGAGTGTCATCATGGGCTTGGCCTCCCTAGTTTTGAAGGTTCTCATTATCCATCCTGTCATTTTTCTAGCAGATGCGATTGATACAATGTTATGGTCCTTGAAGGTGAGATCCTCCGACATGATCACTCCCAGGTCTTTGACGTTGGTGTTTCGCTCTATTTTGTGGCCAGAATTTGTTTTGTACTCTGATGAAGATTTAATTTCCTCGTGTTTACCATATCTGAGTAATTGAAATTTCTCATCGTTGAACTTCATATTGTTTTCTGCAGCCCACTGAAAGATTCGGTTGATGTCCGCCCGGAGCCTTGCAGTGTCTGCATGGAAGACACTGTCATGCAGATTTGGGTGTCATTTGCAAAGAAACATGGTGCTGTGGCTGACATCCTTGTCTATGTCGGATATGAGGATATGAGTAAAAGGACACAAGTGCAACTAATGTGACATTTTATTGTGGCAACGTTTCGCTCTCCAGGAGCTTTGTCAAGGCTTGATAAAGCTCCTGGAGAGCGAAACGTTGCCACAATAAAATGTCACATTAGTTGCACTTGTTTCCTTTTACTTTACATATTGTCGGTAATTCTACCAAATATATATGATTGGAAATGGATGAGTGGAACTGAGTTCAACTAAATATGTACCACTAGAAGCGTTAAACTGAGTACTGCTGAATGAGTACAACTAGATAAGTGCAGCTGGATGACTGCAACTGGATAAATGCAACTAGGTGAGTACAACTACGTGAGTGCAACTAGGCGAGTACAACTACGTGAGTTCAAACATAGTTTCTCACCTACTCTCCTCCTGCCCATCCTCTTCTCAATATACATTTCACTACACAATAATACTCTTGCCACTGTTACCAACGTACACTTGAGTAAAGGAACATATCGTTGCTAGAAATTGCTTACAATACATCACAGCTCCGACAATGGATGGTTTCAATTGGCATCTTTCCCAGGAGGCGAAAACGAGTTGCATGTGCCAGGCACTCACACAACAGGGCCAGGCACTCACACATCAGGGCCAGGCACTTGGAGAAGAGGGCTGGAAATTGCAATTTCTGGTGAAAAAGCGAAATTACGTAACAAGGTTCTCAAAATTCGCTGTAATGCATGAAGTGGTGCAGGTTCTGGGCAAGCCACAGCCGCAGGTGATGGGTAGGGAGAGGGGCCAGGCTCTGGGCACGTCACAGTCCTCGGGTGATGGGTAGGGAGAGGGGCCAGGCTCTGGGCAAGTCACAGTCCTCGGGTGATGGGAAGGGAGAGGGGCCAGGCTCTGGGCAAGCCACAGTCCTCGGGTGATGGGTAGGGAGAGGGGCCAGGATCAGGGCAAGCCACAGTCCTCGGGTGATGGGTAGGGAGAGGGGCCAGGATCAGGGCAAGCCACAGTCCGCGGGTGATGGGTAGGGAGAGGAGCCAGGCTCTGGGCAAGCCACAGTCCTCGGGTGATGGGAAGGGAGAGGGGCCAGGCTCAGGGCAAGCCACAGTCCTCAGGTTATGAGTAGGGAGAGGGAAAAGGCTCTGGGCAAGCCACAGTCCTCGGGTGGTGTGAAGGGAGAGGGCCCAGGCTCTGGGCAAGCCACAGTCCTCGGGTGATGGGTAACGAGAGGAGCCAGGCTCTGGGCAAGCCACAGTCCAAGGGTAATGGGTAGGGAGAGGAGCCAGGATCTGAGCAAGCCACAGTCCAAGGGTGATGGGTAGGGAGAGGGGCCAGGCTCTGGGCAATCCACAGTCCTCGGGTGATGGGTAGTGAGAGGGGCCATGCTCTGGGCAAGCCACAGTCCTCGGGTGATGGGTAGGGAGAGGGGCCAGGCTCTGGGCAAGCCACAGTCCTCGGGTGATGGGTAGGGAGAGAAGCCAGGCTCTGGGCAAGCCACAGTCCGCGGGTGATGGGTAGAGAGAGGGGCCAGGCTCTGGGCAAGCCATAGTCCTCGGGTGATGGGTAGGGAGAGGGGCCAGGCTCTGGGCAAGCCACACTCCTCGGGTGATGTGAAGGGAGAGGGGCCAGGCTCTGGGCAAGCCACAGTCCTCAGGTGATGGGTAAGGAGAGGAGCCAGGCTCTGGGCAAGCCACAGCCCTCGGGTGATGGGTAGGGAGAGGAGCCAGGATCCGAGCAAGCCACAGTCCTCCGGTGATGGGCAGGGAGAGGGGCCAGGCTCTGGGCAAGCCACAGTCCTCGGGTGATGGGTATGGAGAGGGGCCAGGCTCCGGGCAAGCCACAGTCCTCGGGTGATGGGTAGGGAGAGGGGCCAGGCTCTGGGCAAGCCACAGTCCTCGGGTGATGGGTAGGGAGAGAGGCCAGGCTCTGGGCAAGCCACAGTCCTCGGGTGATGGGTAGGGAGAGGAGCCAGGCTCTGGGCAAGCCAATGTCCGCGGGTGATGGGTCGAGAGACGAGCCAGGTTCTGGGCAAGCCACAGTCTGTGGGTGATGGGTAGGGAGAGGGGCCAGGCTCTGGGCAAGCCACACTCCTCGGGTGATGTGAAGGGAGAGGGGCCAGGCTCTGGGCAAGCCACAGTCCTCAGGTGATGGGTAAGGAGAGGAGCCAGGCTCTGGGCAAGCCACAGCCCTCGGGTGATGGGTAGGGAGAGGAGCCAGGATCCGAGCAAGCCACAGTCCTCCGGTGATGGGCAGGGAGAGGGGCCAGGCTCTGGGCAAGCCACAGTCCTCGGGTGATGGGTATGGAGAGGGGCCAGGCTCCGGGCAAGCCACAGTCCTCGGGTGATGGGTAGGGAGAGGGGCCAGGCTCTGGGCAAGCCACAGTCCTCGGGTGATGGGTAGGGAGAGGGGCCAGGCTCTGGGCAAGCCACAGTCCTCGGGTGATGGGTAGGGAGAGGAGCCAGGCTCTGGGCAAGCCAATGTCCGCGGGTGATGGGTCGAGAGACGAGCCAGGTTCTGGGCAAGCCACAGTCTGTGGGTGATGGGTAGGGAGAGGGGCCAGGCTCTGGGCAAGCCAGAGTCCTCGGGTGATGGGTAGGGA